AACTCCATACCCTAAAAGTCCAATGCCAAATTCGGCGATAAGGAGTTTTTTTTTACGATCGCCGAATGACCAGCGCTCTGGCTCTCGGTACCATAGATATCGGGTTCAAATCCCGGCGTTGCCCATGAGTGTTTGTAGTGGTTCGGAATCTACTTTAAACCGTAGGTCCCAGTCCTAATAGGATCTTAGAGCGTTGCGGGGGCATTGTTACTCCGCGTCCGTGGCTTATTTCAAGTTACACGCGCCCCCTGGGTAATGCAAAGTGAGTAATGTCTATGCAGCGCTTGCCTTAAGGCATCCAAGACAATTGTCTAAGTCGTTGCCAGCTGCATTAGAACGAAAAAATAAAAATAAAAACACTTAAGGGCAACATTTTTAAAGAGGCTGCAATACAATACGAGATGCCAATTTTGCAACTTTTACTGCAGTCTGATAAAAATTTCTTTCCATCAAACATAACAACTCATATTTTAATAATATCTTCAGGTAATGTATCTCTGTTGCATAACAAGAGTTTCACATGGCTCTCAAAAAAGTATAGATAAATGATGACAGATGCCATAAATCAACAAGGAAAGATATTATAAATCTATTGCAGAACTGCTGAAATTTACCTGGCAAGGGGGCAACGGGCAACGGGCGTACCTGTTACGGAGTTCCTAGGTGGTTTTAAGAACCACAATACCTCCACATCTTAAGTTAATTAGAAAATTTGCATAAATGAAGTTGCTTAAATTATAGAATGTTAATAAAGAAAAATGTATTGCCCATGTAGCAAATTGTCCCAACTTATGAAGATTCCTTTTTGCACTTGATGTATAAATACAACTTGCAGGATTAAAATTCCTAAACATCATGAAATATCTACATCTCCAATAAGTATGGAGATGTGAATCAAGCATTATGAGTATATGTATGGCGGTATACTCATAATGCTTGTAAATTTTTACCATCACTGACGTCACTGTCTGCAAATGTGCATTGATCGTTTCTGCAAAATTTCAGCTATATTGCTATATCGTGAAGGGATTCGGCCAACGTCGAATTATCATTGCGATCTAAATTCACAATACACTGAGTATTTCGTGTTGTCTAATTTTGCATGTGACGGCAAAACGTTCTTGTTGGACACTTTACTGAAGATTGAGTGATAAATCGAAGTTGTAAGTTTAAGTGGCCCTCACGATTACCAAATTTGACTCTAGCAGGTTTTTGGTTGTCGGGATTCTTAAAATCTGGTGTGTATCGCCGCTCTCCAGACACTTTGATGAAACAGAAAAAGGCCATTCGACAGACCATGACAAGTTGAAATGCATCATAACTGGAGACGAGACTTTGATTTATGCTTACGACCCCGAAACAACCGATAAATCCAGCGAATATCGTGAAAACAGTGAAGAAAGACCGAAAAGCGCACGTCAAAGTCATTCAAAAATCAAGATCATGTTGACTGTTTTCTTCGATTACCGTGGTGTGGTGCATTATAAATTCCTTCCACCCAACCAAACTGCAAACAAGGAATATTACTTGAGTGTTATGCGTCGTTTGCGTGAAGCTATTATCAAAAAGAGGTCATATTCACGGAAGGAACAACTCTTGGTTTTTGCAGCACGATAATGCGCCAGCTTACACTGCATTGGTTCTTCGTGACTTTTTCGCCAAAAATGAAACCCATATCGTTCCACAACCACCGTATTCACCTGCTTTAGCACCGTGCGACTTCTGGCTATTCCTTAAACTCAAAAGACCATTCCGGGGACACCGTTTTGAGTCGATTGAAGAGATTCAACGTGAATCGGCGCGCGCTTTCAAGGCCATCCCGGCCAATGACTTTTTAGTATACATTGAGGATTGGAAAAAACGTTAGCATAAGGGCATTGTGTCCGGAGGGGACTACTTTGAAGGCGATGAAATGAATTTGGCAGAATAAATAAAGAGTTTTTGAAAAATATAAAAATTGGTCTTACTTTATGGACACAGTATATTGCCATCTAATGGTAAAAAGGAAACCTATTTTTTAATTTGGAAAAAAACAAAATTATTCATATGTAAATTGATGCGATTTCAATCCTCAAATTAAGCTCAAGAAGGTTAATGAATTAACCAACTAAACTCATTTTTATGAGCTTTAAAAAGTACATTTTGTTAGTTTGTTTGCACACTATACATTTAATTCGTGTTTGTTTGTAAAGAAAATGATGTTGTACAATGCTTGCTGCATGTAAAAGAAGATGATTGATATATATTTATTACCTCGCTAATATAATTTATAATAAGTGTCATTATTTAATTAGATATACTTAAAAATATGTTTAACAAACAATAAACAATACATTTCCGAAAATGTAGAATAAACTTTTAATTTTTAAATTGTGTCCAACATAGATTTAAAAAAAAATCTGCTCTGTTTACAAACATTTACTAAATATTCATGAAAAATCATTTACATTGTACAGTCATGAGAATTTTTGTAATCTTTTTATTCGTTGTTGTTGAAAAACCTTCAGCAACATTTATGTATGTTTCAAACAACTCATCTATGGGCGAGACGAAGAGATAATTTCTTTCCATGGCTATCACTGCTATAGATTATTTGTGTATCTTATGAGAGAAAACCAGAAAATCTCCTAATATGTGGTCTGACTATTGATGCCGAGACATTTAACACACGTTTTTTTCATAATCAAGCTCTACGTTTCTGAAAACAACTATTGCAACGAAGAATATCATCGAATTCAAACCTGAGTCCTCCTGCATGCTATCTGTGCAAATTACAACTGGCCAACCAACTACTAAATGTATCTAGCTTTTATAAAAATTAATTAAACATTTTTGAAAGCATTGAAATAAAGATGTAATAAAATCTGACTTTTGTAAAAATTAATTAAAAACTTTTGAAAACATTGAAATAAAGAAATACTAGAATTATTTTAAAAATTGTATTTCTTTCTGGCAAATAAAACATCAGTTTTATTTGAATATAATTATGAATTCCATTATTTGTTTAAAATATGTATTTTTGTTCAATATTTTAAAGAACCTGTATCGTTATTTAGAGGTGTTTAGAAAAAACCTGATTTCTGTTACAATTTTTGGTGTCAGAAATTAGAAGAATATATGTCTTGATGACAACAAAGAGTCTCACATCGACAGTCAGGTTTCTTGGTAAGCGTTCTCCGGGTTGTTTCTCCCATGCAATACTCAAACACATGACTAGTTACTCCTAAAATGCTCAGAAGGAATATTCATCCTTAATTATCCGTAGGTGGTATGCATAAATAGAATATGAAGTCCAATCGTGTGAAAAAAAATCATATTTTATCTTATTATTTCATATAATATATGCATATGCAATGTCAATATATCAATTAGACATAAACCATTGTTTCTATTTTGAAAATAATGAAGATAAGAAAAATAAATTTTAATATAATTTAATATATATTCACAATAAAAATAATGCAGCTCAATGCTTATCAAATGCTTTCACATTTTATCTTATTTATAAAATTTGTTGATAGATAAATCTCACAAGGAATTTATTATATTAATTATATCTTTTTGAACATAATCATAATATAATAATAAATGAATATTTTAGTAAAATAGTGTTAAAACAAAATAATAATTTCTAATTTTAAATAATGCACATAGATGGCGACACGTTCAAACTTCAAATGATTTCATTTCGAAAATAATTTTTTTTTGTCATGACAATTTCTTCTTAAAGTGACAGATGATAGACATGCATATTCAAAATTAATTTTGTAAATCTTGTATTAAAAAATATTAAATAAATTTTAATGCGATTAATTATGTTGATACTAGTTTACTAAATGGTTCCTAAAAATCAATTATAGATTTAGTGGCTTGCTATGTAAAAAATTAAAATTATTCCTGAAATAATGGAGTAATATTTTTTTTAAAAATAAATAAAATGATTGTAAAAAGGTTATTTTATTGTTATGAATAAAAAAATTAATATAATTAATTTGGCTTCATAAAATATTAATAAATAAAACAAATAAATTTGATGTACATATTTTTTGCTTTAAAAAAAAAATTATAAAAGATTTAATTGATCATTTGCTATATTATACCAATTGGAATATTTTTTTACTTAAAATCCGAGTTGTGTCGGCATTTGATTTACTAAAATATAAAATTGATTGCACTTATATTAGAAAATAGGTTTTTTAAAATTATATTTAAAAATATTAAAAGGATTTTGAAGACTGTTAAGTTATTTTAGACAGCTATAAGTTTCTTAATTTTTATAAAATAAATATAGTTTTTTTATACATAATTCTCTTTATTTTCATGCATTTTTTTCCAATAATATGTGTATTTATTTCAGCTTATTTACTTACTCATTTCCTAATGAGGATAGATACAAATAACTGCGCATACGTATCAATTATACACTCTGTCCCTTTTTCTCCCATATTCAAGCATAGTTTAAAGATCAACTACAGAAGGAGAAAAAAAAAAAAATCAAAAAGGGACTAAAGCTATTACTGCTGGTTCTACATTCAAATTTATTTTAAAGAACCTTTCCTCAGAATCGCTTACAAAATGACTTTCCGAACCACAAATGAATTTCGTGGTGTAGTTCGACGCGCCATAACTTATCTTAAATTGGTCTCATTTGCTGATATTTGATCATGCTCATTTGTGTTTGTTGCAGAAAATTTTTTTTTCTTTCATTGTGTTGTTGTTTGTTGTTGTTTCTTATCCCACTTGGCTGGCCAAGCCCACGAGCCCTTACGTACTCATGATTGAAGGGGGAGGAAGCAGCTTCTGTTGTGATGGAGCACCCGTAGGTAGAAGTCTGACTTTGGCTCCGTGACGCTCTTACAGTCATAGGAGACCGGGACCTACGGCTTAAAGTGGCCACTACAAACATCCATCGCACCGCCGGGATTCGAACCCGAAACCTGTGGCACCGAGCTGCAGAGCGCTAGCACCTCGGCCATTCAGGTCCCAAATTTGTGAATGCCAACGGCACGCAGTGTTCCGCGGTGGTCACCCACCCAAGTACTGACCGCGACCGATGACTTCGGTGATCTAACGAGAACCGGTATATTCAGCATGGTATGGCCGTTGGCTTAGTTGAATCTTTCATTGTAAATAAACTATATATAATTCCATTGCAAGATAGTTCGGTTTAAACCACTTACGAGCTTGCTTAAATATTTATATGTAAACATGTCTCTGAATTCAGGGTCTCATAAAACTTATCACTTATAATTAAATGCACAGTTGTACTCCCAGTTTTTAAACGTGATGGAAACTGTATACGATAGCCACGAACAGGATTGCCCGACGCATAGCTTTTTTGAAATTTTGCAAGTAGTAGGCTCAAATTCAATTAGAGTTGCACATTTTTAAAAATCATATTGAATGATTTTTTCATCATTCAAACTTGCAAAGATATTAATGGCCTTCTCTCTTAGCAGATTTAATAAAATTTACCATTTAATTCTTCAAACTCCCTTTTCATAGAAGCAGTGTCCAAAATTAAGAAAGATAAATTCCACACTTCTTCACTTTTTGGAATAGCAAACAATAACATACATACTCTAGATATGTAAATCTGAACTGAGAATATATTTTTAGAGCCCTCATTATTTTCCTCTAATTTTACATTTTTTTAATTTATTGCATAATTAATCTAATTAATTATATCCACATCCACAAAACCTGGCTCTTCTTTAGTATAGCTATTACAACTCATAATTAATAACAACACTTTTATTCAATCTATGACATTTTCCCCTAACTCATCCGCTGTGTTTAAAAAATCTTTTTAACGTCTCAAAACATTTTAAAAACAGTAAAAAATATATACAGCGGCTAAACATTTGTCCAGACACAAGCAAAAGTTTGCTCACCGCAGTTATCTGGTGGATCATATTCTGTCCACTGTGCCAAAATAACGAAGTCTGTTGCTTTTACCAGCACTTGTTGTATAAAGGGCTGCTTAAATGTTTTATAGAAATATGAACACTGTTTAATATACACTGAAGTGACAAAAGTCATGGGATAGCAATATGCAAATTTTCAGATGGCAGTAGCATCGCGTAGAACAGGTATAAATGCGCAGTGCTTTCGCAGAGCTTTCATTTCTGTTCAAGTTATTCATGTGAAGAGGTTTTGACGTGATGACGACCGCACGACGGGAATTAACAGACTTTGAACGCGGAATGTTAGTTGGAGCTAGACGCATGGGTCATGCCATCTCGGAAATCGTTAGGGAATTCAACATTCCCAGATCCACTGTGTCAAGAGTGTGCCGAGAGTATGAAATTTCAGGCATAACATCCCACCATGGACAGCGCAGTGGTCGACCGCCTGCACTTAACGACCGAGACCGGCGACGTCTGCAAAGAGTCGTAAATTCTAACAGACAAGCAACACTGCGTCAAATAATCGCAGAAATCAATGTGGGACGTACAAGGGACTTGTCTGTTAGAACTGTGCGGAGAAAATTGGCTTTCTTGGGCTATTCCAGCAGAAGACCGACTCGAGTTCCTTTACTGACAGAACGACATCGCTTGCAGCGACTCTCGTGGGCACGTGAGCATATCGGTTGGTCCCTAGATGAATGGAAAACCGTGGCCTGGTCCGATGAGTCACGATTTCAGTTGGTAAGAGCTGATGGTAGGGTTCGAGTGTGGCACAGACCCCACGAAGCCATGGACCCAAACTGTCAGCAAGGCACTGTTCAAGCTGGTGGTGGCTCCGTAATGGTGTGGGCTGTTTTTTCATGGCATGGACTTGGTCCTCTAGTGCGACTGGACCGAACATTGACTGGAAATGCTTATGTTCAGCTACTTGGAGATCACTTGCAGCCATTCATGGACTTCATGTACCCAAACAACGATGGGAATTTTATGGATGACAATGCGCCATGTCACCGGGCCCGGATTGGTTTGAAGAACATTCTGGGAAAATCCAACGAAAGATCTGGCCACCTAGATCGCCCGACATGAATCCCATCGAGCATTTATGGGACATCATCGAGAGGTCTGTTCGTGCCCAAAATCCTGCACCATCAACGCTTTCACAATTATGGACGTCTATCGAGACAGCATGGCTCAATATTCCTGCAGAAGACTTCCAACGACTTGTTGAGTCCATGCCAAGTCGAGTTGCTGCACTTCGCCGGGCGAAAGGAGGGCCGACACGATATTAAGAGGTATCCCATGACTTTTGTCACTTCAGTGTATTTCATTAATGTTTTATCGCAATTATTTATGAAGCAATTAGATTCAAATTTATTAGAATTATTCGTTACAAATTTATATTCAGCTGGCTTACGCGCCAACTGACAAGAATGTCAAATTCATAGATAAAAGGTCATCATAATTATTATAATTATTCAGAGATAAATTTAATAAGAATATCTCCAACGCAACTCGATTAACATACGTGCCAATTCTCGTTAAATGCTTAGCACAAACTACACCTCTGCCGTATCGAAATCTACTTCACATTGTTTGAATTCTATCATATCTTCCCCGCTGTCGTGTCACTGTCTTGAGGGAAAGGAGAAAATGATCTTTCTCTGTCCTTTTCAGAGATGATCCTTTTCTATCCGCTTTAGAAAGGACCATTTCCTTAAGGACCCAGTCTGAATCGAAACTTCTAGAAACGTGACTTACATTGCATGCAGTAATTTAAAGTTTAAAGTATTTAGGATGTGTCAATTACCATTTTGTGTAACATGTAGTCCATTTATACGGCCAGCTACTATTATGCATCACATTAAAGGTTATAAAGAAGAGCATTTTGAAGCAATAAAGATACTTGGTAACTCTTTGTATATAGATGCTGTGTTGCTTGCAGCAGATTCGACAGATGAAGCTCTTTCCTTGTTTTCTACCTGTTAAAATACTAAAATAAGTTTGTATGAACTTAAGAAAATTTGAAACTAATTCGTTAACTTTTAAAAATTAATTATTGCTATTACTAATCCTCCAGGTGTAGGAAAGCCTAGAGCAGGTCTAGAATACTCCGTCGCATGCGATTAGGACATAGCAAAGGGTAATATGCAGCTTCACTTTTTAACGAGAAACCAAGAGGGTTGAAGACTGACTAAACCTCAAGACAACGCTCTAAGAGACGGGGAGACATTAGACAGGGACTTAGGTTTAAACGGAATCTAGAACCACTACAAACATCCATGGCAACGCCGGGACTCGAACCCGAAAGCACCAAGCGCCAGAGTGCTAGACACTCCGCCATTTAAGCCCCCTGAAAAATAACTGAAATGAGAATTGATTTAAGAAAATAACTTAAATACAAAGCCATTGAAAGTTTCAGGTATAAATTGTAATTGGGAAGGAGATATTCAAATTAGATATGTAATAAAATCTTAAAACATTTTGGTAATATTCAAACACGTGTGCTTTCAGTGGACTGTAAAAACTCAGTTCTTTATTCAAAAACCAAACTTACTCTGCCGATATTATATTTATTTCTCGTTCAAGCAAGCTCACGCCCACAAAAATGAGGAAGTTTATAATTCCTCTGGCGCCAGCTTAGATTCGATTTTTTTTTACAAATCATGCACGTACAGCTATTTATCCATGAGACAACACATTTTAAAAGCATAATTAAACGTAATTAAACGTTTATTCGGAAAACATAATTAAACGTAGAATATTACAAACTTTAGCTAAAATATATAATTTTTATAGAATTCATTGCTCTGTTTGTTATTAAAATTAAGTTTTCTTTGCGAGAATTATGGAAATCTTTGAAGCAAATTTGCATTTTGATTTGAGTAAGAAATTTAAAAGGTGTTTTGAAAATGAAATATTATTAAAACTGCGTATTCATATAAGAAATGAGGGGTCTGAATGGCCGAGTGGCTAGCGCTCTGGCGCTCGGTACTACAAGTTTCGGATTGAGTCCCGGTGGTGCCATGGTTGTTTGTAGTGGTTCGGAATCCACTTTAAAAAGTAGGTCCCGGTCCTAACAGGATCGTAGAGCGTTGCGGGGGCAGTGTTACTCCGCGTCCGTGGCTTATCTTCAACTTACACGCGCCCCCTGGGTAATGCAAAGTGAGTACCTCTCTGCAGCATTTGCCTTAAGGCATCCAAAGACCAAGCTGTCTGTGTTTGCCAGCTGCATTAGAAAGAAAAAAAATAGAAGAAATGTTTTTAAGAAAAAAATTATAAATATTGGTGTAATGGTGCTTTATATATTTTGCGATGATAATCTTAAGGGATATGGAGCTATTGCTTATTTTAGAGATCTTTATTTATGCACAACTTCATTGTGATTGCTAAGAGCCGAATTTAATAATAAAATTTCTTAACAGTAAAATTTCATTATTGAATCCGTTTCTTAACAAAGAAGAACATCTTTAAAGTTGGCGGAAGATTTTTAAATTCAAATCTGTCAGAAAACCAGAAACATCAAATTATTCTTCCTAGTAAATCATCATGCTGAATTATCAACAATGTAATT